TTACTATCTGAATATGGGTCACGCTATTCGTAGTATCAGAGAAGAGTTTCCTTCCTTGTTCTACAAAGAACCCAATTTCGACATTTACAGGTTTCAGATTCACTCGTTCTTGATTAGCTTTCTCAAAGAATCATCAGCTTCAGGATTGTGCTTATATAGTTAGTATATGGTTAGGTTACTGTTTGATCTGTTCTTGATTAGCTTTTTATTGTCTATGGTTTTCACAGGGATGATATTGTGTTTAGAGACCCTATGAACACATTCATGGGGATTGATAACTACAAATCCATATTTTGGGCATTACGTTTCCATGGAAGGATCTTCTTTAGAGCACTTTGTGTCGACATTGTTAGTGTTTGGCAACCAACAGAGAACATTCTGATGATTCGATGGACTGTTCATGGAATTCCTCGTGGTCCTTGGGAGACTCGTGGTCGATTCGATGGTACTTCGGAGTATAAATTCGATAAGAATGGGAAGATTTATGAGCACAAAGTCGATAACATTGCCATTAATTCGCCTCCAAAGTTCCAAATGCTTACTGTTCAAGAGCTTGTTGAAGCTATTCGCTGCCCTTCAACACCAAAGCCGACATACTTTGAGTTGGGAGATTTCTCGTCGGAAACATATTAGTAGTGTGTTCGATTAGTGTTTATGTGTATAGTCTTTTGTGTTGTTTTATAGATAGAGTTAAAAATGAGGTTGGACTAAAATTTGGTGTTTGTAATATAGATGAAGAAGAATGATATAAAGCCCCAATAAAAAGGAATAATCAAGAAAAGCCTTGTATATACACATGTAGGGAAATGAATTTGTAAGTTGGAATTCAAGAACTATGATTAATTAATTACAAAGTAACATGATACATAATTTAAAAGCACATAAGCTTTTATATATGTACATTATAGACCATATATTTACATGTATTGATGCGATTTGAAGTTGTTTTTAAATAATCTTATAGCATACAATTTACACATTTAAATTCGAGTTATGACACAATAACAATACTACTACAAACCATAAATTACGAGTTAGGTACATTTTCTTTTTAATATAGTTCACCTGAATCATTGCAAATGGCAAAAATGATTTGTAAGAGCAAGTTGGGGCCAATGATTTTTTGCCCAATAAACCATGATGGAGATCCATGGGCCTTAGCACGTGCAAAATCGGCAGGTCCGTTTTCGACAGCTAAGCCACACGTGTGGATCTCACGCTGTCGAAGCTGGCAAATGCTGACGTGTCCGTAACGCTTTATTATAAATCCAGTCACGTTGACAGTTGACTGGTCTTATTTTTCTTTTCTTGCAAGGTCATTTCCGTCATTGTGCTCTTCGGTAGATCCACCTCCATTTTTAAGTTTGGTTTCATAAATGCATTGCATATAGAAGCACACCACCAAAATATTTAATGTGTCATTCAACTACCGTAATAAAAGCAAATAATGTAACAAGACATGTGAATTTTCTTACATGTCTAGTAGTAGTGGTTTTTTTTTTGGAATTACAAATTGATTTTTCGTTTAATGTATACTCGACAAAATTATTAATTTAATGTACTTCAGATGTCTCTAATACTACTAATTCACAACCAAATTTGGTTTTGTGGTCGTAATTGCAATTTAGAGATATTTAATTAAATATGATCCATCACTTATAAATGAGAACCAATACTGTTACTATTAAAATTGTTTTGTTTAATTTAATAAAAAAAGCATAGTGCGTCTTTCCCAAAGTCGTTTTCTATATTCAGAAAGGAAAATGGCATTTGAGTCATTGGAATCG